AGTGAAAGTGTCAAGTCTTAATCCCTGGACTGCCTGGGAATTCTACCCGCCCCCCCCTGCTCCCCCACCCTTTTTTTAAATAGTTTTCTAGTCTTAGGCCCAGAGGTTAAAGCTTCTGCCTGCAATGCGTGAGACCTGGGTTCAACCCCTGGGGTGGGAAGATCCCCTGGAGAAGGAAATGGCAACCCACTCCAGTATTCTTGCCTTGAAAATCCCATGGACGGAGGAGCCTGGTGGGCTATAGTCCATGGGCTCGTGAAGAGTCGGACACGACTGAGCGACTTCACTTCACTTCACTTCAGTCTTAAGTAGATGCTGATGCCTTAGCCGAAGCTCCAAAACTTTGGCCACCTGATGCAAAGAACTGACTTACTGGAAAAGACCCTGATGCTGGGAAAGATTGAGGGCAGGAGGAGAAGGGGACGGCAGAGGATGAGATGGTTAGATATAAGTCACCGACTCAGTGGACATGAATTTGAGCAAGCTCAAGAGGATGGTGAAGGACAGGAAGGCCTGGTGTGCTGCAGTCCATGGGGTCACAAAGAGTCGGACATGACTTAGTAACTGAACCACAAGCAAGTCTTAAGTAAGCTGCTTCTGCTCACTGCCCTGTTTAGCCTCTGGATGTCAGCGCCTTCAGGGAAGGGGCCCCATGTTCCTGCCCAGCTTCCACATCCCTGTGCTTTTGCTCTTCCCAGCTTTGAAAAGACACATCTCTGTTTTAGACTATAGAAGACTTGCGTGGAAAAGTGATCAGTTCTCATTGTGCTCTCTTCATAAACTGGCCTTATTTAGTAATAGAACTAGGTACACTCCCAGGACCCATTCCACTTTTCAGGGGAGATAAAACCATGATGGGTCTTCCGAATAGCACCTAACTGGTTCAGAAGAAAGAAATAAAAAGAATGAAGAGGAAAGTGACTCATCGGTTACTCTGTTAGTATTAATATGTTTGCCATGTTCTTAAGAGGATCACCGTCGTATTTACAAACTGTGCTTCTTGTGATTCACTTAAATTATACCCTAATTTGCAATGAGAATAATCAGCATGTGATTCAGACTAATATTGTATTGTCTCTATTTGATTAAATGACACTAAATAATGTCACTAAGTAATGACACTGAATAATGACTTGTGTCCCCCTCTCTCTCTCTTTGCTATTTTCAGTAGAGCATGCACCATTTTGAACGTGAATTTTCGGTAAAGTAAGCTATACTGATTTTTCTAACTTTAAAGATGCTCTGTTTCTGTCTGTGAAATGGGACAGTGTGTCTAGATCACTGAAGTGATGAACAAACGGGAAAGCTGATTCGAGACGATTTCCTTGTCTGGATATTTAAATGAAATACAGCATCTTTAAAAGGCGCCCCAGTGACTTCATTTACATTCATTTCATTTTCATCATGACCTTCAAAATTTTCATTTTTCACTCTGATTTTAGTTTTAAAATACAGCCCTAAAACCTACACATCAACTGCACGGCATTTTGGTATTTTAATTTCGGAAGCCAGCATCTCACAGTCCTGTTGTTGCAAACGTGCTGGTTCCTTGTTACTCTGACTAAAGGGAAAGGACATTGGGCAATTGCATTCCTGGTCACAGGGAAGCCACTTACTGGCTTTATAACTGATATTAGGGAAAACAGTTCTTTTTTAAGCATCCTCAATAATAATTGGGACATGAATACAGCCTCCCCATCTTTCTGAGGTAAAAGCAAAGGCAGTTTCAAACAGCTGGGGGCTGCCTGCTTCAGGGGTCACTGGCCTCCAGTTCCTTCTGAGGGTAGCTGATAGGTCTGGTGTTGGTCTGAAGGCCAGGTGGTCTCCCCTCCTGAGTGTGGGGACCACGAAGGAACCCAGACCCGCAGGCAGTAGTTGAGTGCCCACTGCCAAAGTTGGCCCAGGGAAGGGGACTCTCAGAGGTCCTTTTGACACGGCTGGGGAAGGTGTTTCTGCCTGGGTCTAACCTGTGATCTTGCTGCAACAGTCTGTGGCCTGTCTCATGGCCTCTGCCGGGCCGCCAGGCTCCCATTTGGGCTACTGGGGAGGGTGGAATAGTTAACTCTCGGGGTTTTTGTCCAAGAGAAGGTGAGATTGGACAGATCATGACTGACCTGGTTATCACTGTAGATAAGCTGTTTTGGAGCATTCCACCACCTGGGGTATTGGAGGCCAACATTTTTGAAAGCTAGATCCAGTTGGCAGTCAGTCTACTGTGGAATCTGGTGGTGTCCGTGACCTGGGGATGGGGCTTTAGGAGGCCTCTGGAGGGGCCCTCACTCACATCTGGGGAGTAGGGGAGCCCAGGCATCAGGCAGTTGTTCCAGATTTGTCACAGGCCCATGAGTCAACTCTGAATTTGGATGGTGGTAACATTCCCCCATCTCCCACATTATTAGCCATGTGTTATAGCTTAAGTCCCAGTGAACCTTTAAAGGAATTTTGTGGACCATAGAAGAGGCAAAAAAGGAAAACTAAAAAAGGACCAAAAAAATTGATGGGACCTGTAGTTAGACTGTGAGTCCCTGGGATGTGTTTTTGCCTCCTCCAAGGTCAAGCGTTGACCTTGCCCTCTCTCCCCGCACCCCCACCCCCACCTTCCTGAGGCTTCTGAGCTGCTCCTGGGCCTGACCCTGTGTATGGAGCTCTGCCCTGGTGGTCGCAGGCCCAGGGAGGAGAGGTGGACCTCATGGGACGTGGGGCCCTTTACGATGGGTCTGGCCCTCTGTGAGGGCACCTCTGGCGACCTTATTTTTCCCTTTGGATGAGCACACTCTCCTTGCACAGCCCCCAGCAGCACAGGTTATCCTGTGGCACTTTGGACAGTGGAATTATTTACCCACCTACATATTCAAAGCAATTCATTTAGACAGTCTTAGCCTTTACTTGGACAGTGAGGGTCCGTTTCCTGAGCATCAACCCCAGTCCCCAAACTGTGGTAGTGAATGTGCACTTCTAATTTTGAGCGCCCGGTAAGAATGAGGCCACAGTCCAGGGCTGGTTCCGCATGAGGGCTGAGCAGCTTAGTTCTGTGCCAAGATGGCAGCCTGTACCAAGTCTAGTCCCCGAGGCCCAGCTCTCGCCTCCCAGAGTCCTGGGCTAGAAGGGTGGCTGGTCCTTGTGTAGTCAGTTCCATGCCTTTAGTAGAACAAAGTGCTATTGCAGCCCTGTCTTCTGGTCTGTAACCCGCCCTGACTCTTCTGCCGGGGTCAAAGCCCAGAGCTGGTAAGCAGAAATGCTGGCGCTCATTCCCGTACATATTGGGCCCTCCAGGTCAAGTCCAATTCCGCTGCCCTTTTCTGGCCATTGGCCGAGAGTGCTGGGGAGGGGCACCAGGAGGGTTTTGGCATCCACTTAGTCCTCCGGGCTCTGCAGTTGAGTTCCAAGAGGCTTCAGAGGCCATCACCCCTCCTGGTATTTTACTGGTCACTTTCCAAGAACACCCTTCAGAGGAACGCTTATATGACACAGCGGTTTTCCCTGCTCTTCTCATCTCCACAGTCATGTCAGGTTGCAAGTCCTTTTTTATCTCTGTAACCCTGTAACACCAGGCCAGGAGCATCTTCCCATAATCCACCCTGGCATACAACATAATAGAACTTCATTAGTTGTCATTATATAGAACCAGTGAAAATGACATTTTGTTCATCTGTCTGTGTTCACTATTTGTATTGCCATATTATTTGAGAATTTCAAGAACTCCAGAGCATGAGTGTGTGTATCTGTGTGATTCTTTAATTTCAGCTGCCTTTAGGTTTGGGTAAAAGATGTAAAGGAAGGTAAGTGGTATGAAATACTTTAACCATGGCCTATCACAGTTGGTAAAAAAAAAAAAAAAGGTCGCTCTTGTTGAACTATGTAATTGATGGTCCTGAACACCCATCCGTATGAAGTCAGGTTGTGGTGGGTATGTTCTCTTGTCACCACAGCTCAGGGAGGTGGTGGGGGAGCCATCCAGCAGTGTCTTGCTGGGGCAGCCCTAGGATAGGGTAGAGGACGAGGCTAGGAACAGAGGGGTGGACTCACGGGGAGCTGCCCGGTTCCCAGGAGATGGGGCAACTCATTGTAGCACAGGCAACTTCTTTGAAGCAAGGCCTTTTCTCAACCTCGTGTTTATTTTGTTCGAAGGGGATGAAATTCATTTGTTGATTCAAAAGTATACAATTCAAGTGCACAACGTCTGTGTACCTGGAAGGAAGCTAAGAGAAGTTTCAGATACCTGTTCAGTTTCCTTCTTGCCCACCAGGGTAGAGCCCGCCACTCCAGTCTCCCCCAGCACTTCAGCAAAGATGTAGGGTTAGTGCATTTCTGTCTTGTAGGGTTGGCTCCCAGTGGAGACAAGGGTGTTTGAGGAAGACACCTCCTTGAGAGTGCCATTGCAGGAGAAAGTCCTCTGCCCCTTGCTGAGCACTGCTGACAATTATTAGCATTTTATATTTCTTTCAGGCAACCTAGTACACTCAAGACAGATGAAAAAAAAAAAAGACCCTCCTGAGGAGCCCATAACCCAGCAGACAATGGTTCCTTGCTGAGAGTCCTAAGTGGTTTGTCATGTCATGTTAAATCACATCCTTCAAATACTGTGTGCGTTGGAGCAGCTAAACTGTTCACCCCTTTCTAGTAATCGGTATTTAGGTAGCCCAGCTCTGGGCATACAGATGTCTGTCTTTCATTGCTAGCCCAGGAGTAGGTGGAGCTGCCTGAAACCTGGAAAGAGTAGGGAAGGGAACCTTTCTTTTGGGATCATTTTTAAAATCTGGAAATTCATCTATGCAGGGAATATCACTGTGTAGTTTTATGTAATCTGTGATATTTGTTTAGTCTTTTCTCACATGACTGTTAACTTGGAGGAAATGGCAACTTTAAAAAAATCACAAAGTATCTTGGACCCTCTGAGGGAAAATGTTTGCAGTCTTCCCCAAGTCCTTTCTGCCCAGGACTGAGCATAGCATGTGTGCAGGGTACCTGCAGAAATACTGACTATCCCCTCTCCTCCACAGGGATGTCCGCGTTACCTCCACCTCCTCCACCTCCGCCTCCACCAGCAGCAGCTCCCTCACCTCCTGCGAGCACAGAGGCGCCCTCACAGCTTCCACCCCAGGCTGTGAATGGCGTGAGCCGAGGGGCCTTACTCAGCTCCATCCAGAATTTCCAAAAAGGAACTTTGAGGAAAGCCGAAACCTGTGATCATAGCGCTCCTAAGATTGGCTGAAGCTTCGTGTTTACACTCGGAGGGGAAAGTTCTTTGTTTTTTTTCTTCCTTCCACCTCCACCCCCTGAAGTACCCTCCTTCTGGATGAATAATTGCTGAGCCAGTACAGCCACATACGACTTTGCAGATGCTCATGTAAGGGGCTTTTCAAGAGGGAAACAGTCTTCAAGTAGAATACAGTCAGGCTGGCACTGCTGCCTTAAGAAATATTTTGCTCCTTGGTTACTATCAGAATCTGGTTCACCCTCTTTTGGTGCGCAGCAGCGTATCAGAATCAATAATCAATTATTTCCACCAACTGAAGGAAATGGACAAAAAACAAAAATGATGACAATATTCAGTCACTGAGGTAAATGGCCTTGGTGTTACAATCCCTCCCATCCCGCCGGACAGCTCCTAGAACTGTTCCTCTCATAATTTCTCTATTCTAAAGTATTTTCTGGTTATTTTTTAGATAAAACTGTTTTTTGCTACCTTTAATTTCATCTTAGACATTAACACTGTAGCCCAAAGCATAGTGATGTCGCTGAGAGTCAGAGAAGCAACCGAGTTCTTCATCTCCCCCTCAAGTAGAAGGTGGAAGTTCACAGCCTTCTCTCAAGTTCAGTCAGGAACTCCTTTGTGGTTACAGAACTCAGGGCTGCTAAAGGGACTCCTCTAGGCTCTTTGTTCCTTTTAGTTAGTACGTGTTGAATAGACAAAAAAATGTTAACATCAGGAAAAGCTCTTGCCAAGTCAAGGATCTTCTTAATCCTTAGCATTTAAGTCAAGTTTGGGGCTTGGGGAGGGGGTCATTATTACAAGTAAATTTGGCATCTATAGAAATCAGTTCTGATTTTTGAAAGATTTATCCAATTATATCATCTTTTTAACATTACTCATTTATTAGAAAGATCCTTTATCCTATGATTTGCTTAAACCCTTAAATAAATTGCACTTTAAAGGATTATAAATAATCCATCTAAAAAAATCAAGTTATACACATCAGTGTTGGTTACTATGCAGAGAGAATGTCATTGTGTATAGTTTCATGTAATCTGTGATAAATGTTCAGCTGTATTTTTTATTAAAATAAACTGTGTCAAGAAAATGTATTGTTTTTAGCTTGGCTAGATATTTTAATGGGAAGTTTTTGTACCACTTATGTGCTTCTGTAACTAACTTACATCTATCTTTTCCATCTCAACTTCTGAGGAGAGCAGTGTATGGCAGAATATTATGTTCTTTGGCAGTGGGAAAAATATCTGACATGGATCTTGGTTTAACTTTGAAGAGACCCTCCTGGAATTAAGCATCTGAAGAGTCTGTGGGCAAGTTCCTGTTGTGAGTGATGCAGTCTAGATTAGCATTTAGTTCCTGATGGCACTAATTTCTTAACAGAATTCTAGGACTTCTATGCCACATTTATTATCTCTAGAATATAAAAATACCATTAGTCATAGTTAGGAATTCCTTTATTCCTTATCAAAACAATCTTAACAGAAAATGTAGATTAAATGCTTTTATTTTTACATATAAGTTATCCTTTTTTGGATATATCTTTCATCAGGACTCTGCCACATTTACACCATGTTCTTCCAGTGAGAGGGTAAAATTGCACATGAATCTTATTCAAAGAACATGGTACTGTAACAGACCAAAAAAACATGGAACTTAGGAGAGTGGAGAGTTTTACCACAAACACATTTAAACTTCTTCCCAGTAAAAAAAAAATCTGTTGTTGCTTCAGAGATAACTTTATGAATTAAAAGGTCTTATAGGACAATCCAGATGAAGAGTCAGCAAGTATTTTAAGTAAATTCCAATGACCTGAACTTCATGTCCAAACTAGATATTCAGTGTTTTCTTTATTGCAAATATGATGTCTTTAACCTGAGGTACAGAGTTGTCTTCCAGAATCTTTGCATAAGGCATAGGCACATCGGCACCAGTGACACGAACTGCAGGAGCATCCAGGAAATTGAACGCGGGGCCTGAGAGGGAAGGAGGTGCAAAGTGAGAGAGGCAAGGAAAGCCAGCTGAGTGCCACCGCCTCAGCACAGCAGGTATGGCTGCCCAGAGGAGGGAAGTCTGAAATCTAGGCTAATTACAAAGAACTGCTCATGGGTTTGCTTTTTTCAAACATTTACGCAAAGGAAAAATACCCAGCTGACAAGTTGAAAATTTCAAGTCATTTGCTCATTCCTAGCTTTTGCTTGTTCTGTCCTGTAATAGACAGTGTTATTACAGCTTAACTCTTCTGGAATCAGTGTCTCTGAAATACCTTCCATGATCCTGGCACAGATTTCAGCTCCTACTCCGAATTGTGGCCAGCCTCCTTCCACGGTTACAAGGTGATTGGTCTTCATAACACTGGCTTCTATTGTTTCAATGTCCATTGGCCTGATGGTTCGCAAATTTATCACCTAGACAGATAATACAGTAAATAGCTTTCCAGAGCCACTGCCTCGCAAACCGTTTTATCCCCATAACGCCACTTCCCTTCTTGTGTGTGTGTGTTCTAAGTCACTCAGTCATGTCTGAGTCTTGACAACCACATGGACTGTAGCCCGGCAGGCTCCTCTGTCCATGGGATGTCCCAGGCAAGAATACGGGAGTGGGGTGCATTTCCTACTCCAGGGGATCTTCCTGACCCAGGGATGAAACCTGCATTTCCCGGCAATCTTCGAGTCTGGGGAAATCTGCCTGTGTCAAAGGGGAAACTAATGAAAAGCTACAAGCAGCTTTGTTTGCTTGCAGAACCCACCTGTCCTCCCTTGGCTCTTAACTTCCTCATCAGAACAGAGACTAACATGTGAGTGCTTACCAAGCACCAGCGCTACAATAAGTACAAGTCCACAGCCACCCTGGCGGGACAGTAAATGTATTATCCTCACTTTACTGCTGATGACGCTGAGATTCATTAGAGTACACATATAACTTGCTCAGGCATAACTAGCAAGTGCTATCTCCTGTGTATCAAAGGTTAGACTCAATGACTTCTAAGTTTTCCATTCTCCCAACTTCCAGCTCTAAGGTTGGATCTTAACTTGATAAAACAGATACCAAAAAGATCCAGACACTAGCTGGTAAAAAGCTAGGTGTTTGAAAACCAAGTAGGTTCCCACCATTAAGCTGAGACAGAACTAAGTGACAAAGCAAGATTTTATATCTAATTAACCTATTACAGAACTCAAACTCCTCTTTCTGGGTCTTAAATTTAAAGGTATCTTTCTGATTCTCTAAGAACACGTGAATGTCCACTTACCTCACATTCAATTCCCTCTTTAGACAGCACTGTTGCAGCTTCTAAGCAGTGGCCCACAGGTCTTGAATGAGCAACTATAGTTACGTGTGTTCCTGAAACAAAGTTGTCACAGATCAGAGGTCAGGCTGAAACCAAACACACTGTCCTTCTCTGTAGCCAGCTGTGGTTCTTGTTCATTTGTAAAATCTTAACTTCATTCCAGTGAGATGCGGAATGTGACAGCCTTCCTGAAAATGAAGTACACATCTACTAGGCTCAGATTTAGAAAAGCACAAATACATGGTGCAGTCAAGGCATAACACATTTTAAGCTTGAACTCATCCTATAATTTCCTAGTCAAAGTAAAGGCCAGTAACTTCTAGATCGACATAAACAGAAGGAACAGAGTACTAATAATGTTGAAGTGTATACTAATTTCTCTTACCTTGCCTTTCTATTTTGGCTTTTCCAATAGGGATCAGAAAATCTTTTGACTGAGCTTCTGAAGGAAGTTCAAAAGGTACTCCATACATCAGTTCATTCTCCAGCACCACCACTGCAATATATAAATATTTAAACCAAAGTAACCACATGACTAAAAAGATCTACACAATACTATCATTCATTCTGTGAGATGTTTCACCATGCTGATTAAGAAGCATCAGTGTCCAGTAGCCTTATGGATGGTTTAGATACAGACATCTATAGTCTGGTTAATTCTGATTTTACCTCTGGGGTTAAGCAAGTGTTACAGGTATGCAGTAAATTTCTCTTGTACCTAACTGGCCCCCATATAGTAACAGATAAGAAAAACACTATTTTGTTTTTATGTTTACTACATCTGTAAATCTCTAACATATGTCTACGCCTAACTTTAATGATCTTTAATGGTTCCTTCCATGCATATATTTCATTTTAGCACTTCAATGTTCAAAAGAGATGCACGACACACCCCTCTACTGACCTGGGTTGTTATCCCGAATGGCTGATTTAATAAGCCCTTTTGCATCCTCTGAACTCCAGGGGCTGACCACCTTTAAGCCTGGGCAATGCCCATACCAGGCAGCAAAACACTGTGAGTGCTGGGCAGCTACACCTGCTGAGGCGCCATTGGGCCCCCTGAAGACTATGGGCACAGACTGAAGGCCCCCTGACATGTAGTACGTCTTGGCAGCTGAGTTTATAACCTGGTCGATGGCTTGCATAGAGAAATTGAAGGTCATGAATTCACAAATGGGCCGTAACCCAGCCTGTCAAATAAAAAATGTTGAAAAGATGTTGAAAAGACTGGAAAACATCAGTTTAGAGTGGCAAATAACTACTTTGCACCCCCAACACTCAAGCAATGATTTTAAAAGGTCTTGTTAAAAGAAATCTCTTTGGGTGACATTCACAAAGAAGACTACATACCATAGCTGCACCTACAGCAATTCCAGCAAAACCCATCTAGAAAATAAAATGCAGATATAAGTAAAAATCCACAAAAATTTGAGTAGTACCCTTCAACAAACATGCCCCTCCAAGGTCTGCTTCCTGATGGAAGGCTTACCTCAGATATGGGAGTATCTATGATCCTCTTATCTCCATATTTCTTCCACAGGCCTCGACTAACCTATAATTAAGGAATGACCCCATTACTTCTAATTGTACTGGGGGCAAATGGCCACCTCAATTCTGTATAGTGTTTTTTTTTTCTCTTAGTTACCTTATATGCCCCATCGTACTGGGCAACTTCTTCCCCAAGGAGAAATACCTTCTCATCTCTTTCCAGCTCCTCATCCATGCCTTGATTTATAGCCTCACGAACTGTTACCTGTCACAGGTATGGGAAAACAGTCAATAAACTACAGGATTACTTAGGATACTACTGAGATTCTCTCTTGACCTAGGCTGCCCATAGCACATGATACAAAAACCATCAACAGAACAGGCTTCTCTTTAAAAGTTCAAAGAATTTAAAAAGTAACATTTCTATTGCTCATTGCCAGTCTATGATTAGATGTATAAATAAGAAGTATACTAAACACTTCCCTTTTTAATATTCATTGGCTGCACTGGGTTTTAGTTGCACATATGGGCTCTTTCATTGTGGCTCACCGACGCAGCAGTTGCCATACAAGAGCTCAGTAGTAGTGGCGCACATGCTCAGTTTCCCGTGTGGGATCTTAGTTCCCCGAACAGGGATAGAACCCACGTCCCCTGCATTGCAGGGTGGATTCTTAACCACTGGACCAGCAGGGAAGTCCCCTTTTTCTTAATGACTACCCAATCTTGAGAAATCTGCTTGCTGGCCAGACCAGTTCACAGGTGCTTTCCTAAGTAGACAGTACATTGGATAATTTTATTTCCACATTTGGTATACTGTGGGGCAGAGAACAGGTAAGGAAGCCTAAGTAACACTACATATTGAGCACTAACTAAGAGCCAGACACTGCCAAACATTTTGCCTTCAGGATTTAGGAATTACTCAACTATAAAGGTTGGCAGAATCCTCCAGTAACAAAAATGAGAAAAGAGAGAAATTCCTCAAAAACTTGAACACAGAATTGCCATATAATCCAATAATTCCAACTTCTAGATTTATACCCCAAAGAACTGAAAGCAGGGACTCAGATAACTGCACATCAATGTTCACAGCACCATTATCCAAAATCCAACAGGTGGAAACAACTCAGGTGTCCATCAGTGGTGAGTGGGTAAGAAAAAGTGGTATATGCCTACAACGGAATACTATTCAGCCTTAAAAACGAAAGGAATTCTGACACATGCTACAACATGGATGAACCTTGAAAACTGGGTAAGTGAAAGAAGTCAGACCTATAAGGAAAAATATTAAATTCCATTTATAGACAATCCCTGCTGCTACTGTTGCTGTTAAGTCGCTTCAGTTGTGTCCGACCCTGTGCGACCCAGAGCAGCTCATCAGGCTCCTCTGTCCCTGGGATTCTCCAGGCAAGAATACTGGAGTGGGTTGCCACTTCCTTCTCCAATTGGCCATCCCTAGAATACATGAATTCATCACCACAGAAAGTGCCGAGGCGTTAGAGGTTACCAGGGGCTCAGGGAGCGTTACTGTTCAATAAGTAAGTTTCTGCTTGGGACGATGATAAAGTTCTGCTGGTGAATGGACGACATGCTAAATGTACTTACTGCCACTGAATACACAGTTTAAAACAGTAAATTTTGTTGTGTGTATTTTATCACAGTAAGAAATTTTAAGGGGAGGTGAGGGAAGAAGTGTTACGTCTAGTTCCCTCAGATCGGCCATTTGATTCCATTAATCCTCGCGTGGGTGACATGCGACCCCAGCCTCTGCCCTGGGACCAGAGGCCCCTCCCGGCCCGACTAGCGTCCGGGCTGGTTACCTGCAGTGCAGCCGGCGCGGTCCGGTGGAAACGCCTCCTCAGCAGCCCGGAGACCTGGCAGGGAGTCAGAGAGGACGCTCAGAGGGGGACTGAGTGGGCAGGGGTCGCGCAGGGTCATAAGCGAGGGAGCCACTGCCTACCTGCTCAAGGGGTCTCCGCACCAACACAGCAACCACCGCCATCTTGACCGTGTCCTTTAGCTGCTGCCGAATGACAGCACAGCAGGGCCGCGAATGAGTCGGACCCCGCTCCCCCGCCGGCGCGGGCCAATGGCAGGGCACGACGCCTGCGTGCCCCGCCTCCCGCAGTGCGTCATGGGCCGAGGGGGCGGGACCAAGGGACGTGTGGGTAGTCCCAGCCTGCGGCGGCCGGGAAACAAGTAGAGAGAGCAGGCGGCTGCTGGCGCTTTGGGTGCACGCCTGGGGCGCGTCCCTCCGTGTTGGTATTTTGAACGCGGGGCCCGAAAGTCAGACGCTGAGGAGCGTAACTCGAGGCCGTGAAAACTGCAGGCACAGAAACGCTTTGGTACGAAGTAGCACTTTATACATAATCTGATGACTGGATATTTACAGTCTGACAAGTTACTCTGGAAACACTGTCTTTTGGTTCCTTAGAATGTGAACTGGAGCTGGCTTTCACGTGTGCCAGGCATTATGTTAAGTGCTTTATGGCTCACTTAATTCTCATAGGAACTCTCTCAGGTAATTAGTGTTAATGTTATTAGCTCTATTTCTCAGATGGGTAGACTGAAGTAGGGAGGCAGAATTTGACTTTAGGACTCCTGAGTGTAAAAGGTAGTCTTTCCCCACTGCTTGGTAAAGCGGAAGTTGGGGTCCCAACCTGGGAGGGAGTTACAACAACCTGCATTTAGAGACGGCCTATCACCTGAGAAGAGGGCGTCAGAGAATGAGATGGCTGGATGGCTTCACCCATACAATGGACATGAACTTGGGCAAAGTTTTGGGAGATGGTGAGGGACAGGGAGGCTTGACGTGCTGCGGTCCATGGGGTCACAAAGAGTCGGACACGCCTAGTGACTGCACAACAGCAACATAACCTGACTAGGAAAGCCTCTGGAAGCTTTATCTCATTGGTCTCGTTTCGACTTGGGGGCGAGGGGAGTGGGTCAGGTGGGACCTCTGAGGACTCCCCCAGTCCTCAGTCTTATCCAGAACATGTCAGAAATTTCTATGAGGGCTGCGAGCTGCTGGTCTGCAACCTGAGAATCTGGGTTTACCCTAAGGGCCCCGAGAAGCCAGTGCAGCAGGGGAGAGACTAGGTCACAGGAATCTGGTTGCTGAATGGGAATGAGAGGAGAGGGGTGAGGGCAGAAGCAGGGAGACCCCAGGGAGTCTTGGTAGAGAAAACTGAAATAGAGGACAGCTTCAACATGAAGAGGAGGTGACAGGTTTAAGATCTGTTTGGGACTGGAATCAATAGGGTTACCTTGAGGGAAGGGGAAGAGGAGGAAGATTTAGGTTTTCTTTGTTTTTGTTGTTGTTGGATGGGTAGGGGAAGGGAGGAGACTAAGTGTAGGTGAGAGGTAAGACTCTATTCTGAATAAGCTGTATTTAGACAACTGGATCATACTCAGGTTGAATGTTTGGAGCCTGGAGCTAGAGGCTAGTTAGTGCTAGAGAAATAAATTTGGACACAGCTGCTTGGGCGTGGCTTTTAGTCTCTGGACTTTTGCTTCATCATCTTTAAAATGGAGAGTTTGTCTCTAAGATGTGAAGTCAAGATGTTCTGTCTTCCTCACCTGACATCATTGCCTAGTCCCTTCAGTCTGTGGACTGAAATAAAAACACACAACGTGCGGGCTGTGAGGTTCGTTTTATTTGGGGACTTAATGAAGACTACACCCCAGGAGACTGCTCTCAGTACATTGTGATTTGGAGAAGGGTATGCAGTCTGGCACACATTGGGGTAGAAGATTACTGCTAGTCATGAGTAGATATTTTAGTTAATGATTTTTAGTGCTTTTCCAAGTATGGTGAGATGCAGGAAATTGGGTTCATAAGCTTTTTTCCTGAAATTATCTGAAGGCCTGTTTTACCAGGTGTTCTCAGAGCTCGGAGTGCCTCATTTTTCAGTCTTTGTCCTGAATTCCTTTCAGGGTATGCTGATGGTCAGCAGTGGCAGTGGCTAATAACTCAACTGTTGTAGAGCACAATGGCCAGCAACAGTCTTTACTTGTCAGGTCCTTGACAGGAAACCAGTACTTCTCCGGCAGCCACACAGCATCCTTGGGAATATCCTCAAATTTGAGATATCACCCCTCACTGGTTCCTGGGTTCTGCTTAGAACAAAAATGTAAGTCAGTTCTCTTGCCTCTCTCACCTCTCCCACCATCCAGCACTAAAAGATTTCAGAATTACAAAGCAAAAGGAGATACCAAGGTAAGGGAAGAAAGGCCTAAAGAGAAGCCAAAAATATGGACTATGATGTAGACAAAGGACAGTATTCTTGGCCTTTATTTACACAGAGACCCTAAAAAGCCAGTAATCCTGAGACTGTGTAGCCAGCTTGACCACTTCAGTCAGAATGGCAGTAGCAACTCCAGAGGACTCAGCCGGTCTCAGGTGAGAGTTTCCTTTAAAATACTGACTGCAAGCATTTCAGACACATTGAACATCTTCATCTGTATATATGCATTCCTTTCAAACTCTGTAAATGGCCAGTTGGGAAAGCCAGGTATAATTTTGTTTCGGAGTAAAAAGCACAAAAGTTGGAAGTGCTAAAGTATAAATCCATAATCTTTTTAAAGCCCATCTATAGGCTCACTGAATTTTACAGAAGAGGTTTGGAAAGTGTAAGTTGACTAACTAGGCCACTTCACTCTTGCAATTACATCTTTCCAGAGTTCCAGGAATATTTGTCCTCCAGTATCTTTGGGTCATCACTCATCAGAAAGTCCTTCATCCAAAGTTTCAATCCCCACAGGGTTCCACAATTATTATTATTATTTTGGTCATATAATAAAAAAGCAGGGTTTATTAAAGAGGATTTTTCACTCCATCTTTTTAGCTATAACTTAAACACATTAAAATGCGCATTTCTACCACCTCAGAAAGTTCTCTCATGTTTCCTTCTAAGTAATTCTCCACTCAGTTCAATAGGCAACCACTGATCTGATTTCCATCATCATATTTCCATTGGCCTGTTTTAGAACTTGAAACAAATGGAGTTATATTTGTTTATATATATAATTATATTTGTTATATACCTTGTGCTCTTGGGTTTGGCTTCTTTAGCTCAGCAAAGGTTACTGAAATTGATTCATCCATGTTAAATCTTAATACTTTACTCCTCTTTTTATTCTCATAACTTTTTCTTTTGGGAGATCTTAAGACTCACAAGAAGTATAAAAATACAAAGAGTGTACAAGAGTTTTCGTGTACCTTCCCTCCAGCTTTGCTCAGTGGTAATATTTTATATTGTTTGTTGTTATTGTTCTGTCACTAAATCACATCTGACTTTTTTGTGACCCCATGGACTGTAGCCTGCCAGGCTCCTCGGTCCATGGGATTTCCCAGGCAAGAATACTGGAGTGGGTTGCCTTTCCTTCTTCAGGGGATCTTCCTGACCTGGGGATGGAACCTGAATCTCCTGCTTTGCAGGCAGTCTCTTCACTGCTGAGCCACCGGGCAACTGACTCCAGTCTTGCCTGGGAAATCCCATGGACAAAGGAGCCTGACTGGCTACAGTCCATGGGGTCACGAAAAGTTGGACATGACTTAGCAACTGAACAACAACAAAAATATTTTACGTACTGTAGCTTGTTGTTGAAACCCAGAATTGACATTGGTACAATACTAGTTAGCTAGACACTAACTAACATTGGTACAATACTAGTTAGGGAGACACTCTATTCTGCTTTCACCAGTTTTTATATGCATCTTTATGTGTGTGCGTGTGTGTGAGTAGTGCTACAAAATTTTATCATCTGTGCAGATTTATGTAGCCGCCAGCACAGACTACAGAATCGTTTCATCACTATAGGGAAACTCCCTCTGTAGACACACACAGACACCTTCTCCCACCCCTAACTCCACTGTCCTCTTCTTAATCACTCTATTATTTCAGGAATGTTTTTACATGGAATCATGCAATATGTAATTCTTTGAGATTGACTATACTTACTCACCCTAATGCCCTGGGGACCCATTCAACCCATTCAAGTAATTCTGTGTATCAACATTTCATTCTTTTTTGTGTGTGTGTGCTTTGAATAGGTTTATTTGTATAACATTAAGTCTTGTCTTTCTGATGTTTCTCTTCTTCCTCTTTGCCCTTTTTCCTTTCTGCCTAGGTCCTGGATGGAATGGAGAGGGCTCCTACTCAACCTCTAACTATCTTTTCTGAGAGTGGTCAGAGAGTTCTTAAACAGGTCTGTTGATTCTGTAGTATACAAATGCAAGTTTGAGTTATAAAATATTTGGTTTCAACCTAAACAAAGGATTGAATTAAGAAGTAGCCTTTTTAAAAAAGAAGCCATTTTGATCTCAGCGTCCTCAGGGTATTTACTTTAGCAAGCTGCATTTGGCATGTGAATTGGACCCAAAGTGACTCAGTTAAAAAGATCTGCTTAATAGAAAAGCAGTTGTCATGTCTTTATCAGCATTTCATTCTTTATTGCTGAGTAGCTGTATGGCTTTGTCAGTTTATCCATTCATCTGTTGAAGGACTTCTGAGTTGTGTTCATTTTTAATTATTTCCAGGATAGCTGCTGTGAACGTTGGTTTACAGGTTTTTATGTGAACTTAAATTTTCATCTCTTCGGGTAGCCGGCAGTATGATTGCCTGTTAAGTGTATATTTAAGAAATTGCCGAACTTTTTCCAGAGTGGCTGTTCCATTTTAGTTTTCCTCCAGCAATGTATGAGAAATACAGTTGCTCTGGGATCCTTCCCAGCACCTGATATTATCAATAATTTTTATTTAGGTATTCTAATCAATGTGTAGTGGTGTCCCTTGTGATTTTAATTTGCCTTTCCCTAGTATTTAATGATACTGGACACCTTTTAAAATCCAGCATCTCACATGATGTGTCCTGTATATAAGTTAAATCAGCAGGGTGACAATGTACAGCCTTGACGTACTCCTTTACTAATTTTGAACCAGTCCATTGTTCCATGTTCAGTTCAAATTGTTGCTTCTTGACTCACATACAAGTTTCTCAA